AATGAGTCCCATCCACACATTCACATTAAATTTTCTTTGGTTGCTCGTTTCCTTCGTTAGATGAGGATTTTCGTCAGTCCAATAATGTAAATTATGAAGATTTGTTATACCTTCTCTGTTAAACTTCGATTCGTCGGTCCATAAAATCCTTCTCAAGAAATATTCATCCTGAATGTCAGCATTTAAAAGAAACCGGCAAAATTGAATCCTTCGTTCAGGATCGCCGTCTTCAAGTGCCAGGACAGGTGTGTAATGATAAAGATGGTTGCCTATTTGTCGAAGAGTTGACCAGACTGTCCATTGTGATATCCCCAAATTAGTAGCGACGCCGACGTTTCTTGTACTGGATGTGGGTGCTTCATCGAATGTTTCCAACATGTTTCCACATTGGGTAGGTTGTCAAAATTGTGCTCGCACTAATTGTTATCTTATTATTGGCTAATTGGAAAGACATTTTGCCATGCTTCATACCTCATTCGAAAGGTAACAAAACAGAGAAGTTTTTACAATAATTTNTTGCTCGTTTCCTTCGTTAGATGAGGATTTTCGTCAGTCCAATAATGTAAATTATGAAAATTTGTTATACCTTCTCTGTTAAACCTCGATTCGTCGGTCCATAAAATCCTTCTCAAGAAATATTCATCCTGAATGTCAGCATTTAAAAGAAACCGGCATAATTGAATCCTTCGTTCAGGATCGCTGTCTTCAAGTGCCAGGACAGGTGTGTAATGATAAGGATGGTTGCCTATTTGTCGAAGAGTTGACCAGACTTTCCATTGTAATATCCCCAAATTAGCAGCGACGCGACGTTTCTTGTACTGGATGTGGGTGCTTCATCGAATGTTTCCAACATGTTTCCACATTGAGTAGGTTGTCAAAATTGTGCTCGCACCAATTGTTATCTTATTATTGGCTAATTGGAAAGACATTTTGCCATGCTTCATACCTCATTCGAAAGGTAACAAAACAGAGAAGTTTTTACAATAATTTGTATGCTGAATGTATCATCGAAATTTTGAAATAGACGNTTATTGTAAAAACTTCTCTGTTTTCTTACATTTCGAATAAGGTATTAAGCATGGCAAAATGTCTTTCTAATTACCCAATAATAAGATAACAAGTGGCGCGAATACAATTTTGACAACCTACCCAAAGTTAATAAAAGTCAAAATCGATTACACCTACTATTTATTGTTGCTTATTGGAACTAAAACATAACGTTAATTCAAACAACCATAAAAAATTAAGCAACTAACATTAAAAAAAAATTAACACAATCATGTGACATAACTTCTAACTCTAACTCAAAAAAATTCAGCGCGAAACACAGTTGAACCTTACCGTTGGTTTCTTATTGGTAATATGCAAAACGACCTTTTTTCATTCTGAATAAATACTTAACTCATACCTATTAGTAAAAATTATCAGTTGGTTCCTTATTACAAGAGGGGGTCCAATTACAAGTCTGCTTCAAAAATTGCACCTCTATTCCTAATACATGCTCGAGCCCTTTTTCTTATTTCCGACCTTGTTATTTTATTTGCAATTGTAGTTCATAAAACATTTGCTTCATTTTGGATTCTCTCTATTAATTCATCCCTAGTATTGATTTGTGTTGCATACACTTTTCCCTTCATGTGGCCCCACACATAAAAATCTAGGGGCGTCAAATCAGGACTCCTTGCAGGCCATGGAATTGGACCTCCTCTCCCAATCCAGCGGTTAGGAAATAATTCATTTAATGAATTTCGCACATTTTGCGAATAGTGCGCAGGGCATCNTGAGCATATTAAAGAAAGGCTTTGAAACGATCCGTATAAGATGTCTAAGAGAATTGAACTTAAAATTGGATTCCAGGGAACATTTAAATGATTCCGACATCAAGGAACTTGTTGATATGATGAATTTCGAAATGAAAAAGTGCACGTTACATTTACAATCGATAATCAAGTGTGAACCTTTCGATAAATAAATTAAAATGTTAATAAATTGATTTTTGCAGAAACATTCAAGTAATAGAAGAAATCTACAACAAAATAATTCTTATGCAAGTTTTAACAGTCGTTTTTATGATGGTTTGTTGTCTTTATATGATGTCAACGGTTAGCATATTTTCAACAACTTTTGCAGCTCAAATTATTTATTTAGTTGCATTAGCAACTCAAGTTACATTGTATTGTTGGTTTGGTAATGAAATTACTGTTGCTGTAGGTTATAAAATTAAACATTTAAGTTGTATTAAATATTATTTAACTTTAGGGTTCAGAAATACCAACGAGTATTTATCAAAGTGACTGGTTATCCACAACAACTGGTTTTAAAAGAAGTATGATGATTAATATGTTGCGTTTAAATAGAGATATTCATCTTACAGTTGGGAAATTTACTCCTCTAACAATTGCAACATTAGTTAGTGTAAGTTAATACAAAGTAATAATAATAATGTTATTTATAAAGATTTTATTTTGTAGATTTTTAGAGGATCTTATTCCTATTTTGCTGTCTTGAAGAATGTGGAGAATTAAAAATTAAAAAGACATAGCTTAAAGAATATATTTAGGTGAAACTAATTTTTGGTGAACACAATAAATAGATACATACACTTTTTTAGTTGATTTCTTAATTACTCCCTCATTTTTTGGTTCCGTAACACTGCGAAATAAGAGTATGAACCTCTAAATATCTAAAAATACGCAAAAAGTAAATTAAAACGTAGATATTTAGATTTATTTACAGCAACTAAGGTAGCAAGAGTTAAAGGTGAAAATTTTCCGATTGTTATGCATAAATTTCTTTGCATACGAGCCATATTTATTAACATTCCTTTACGAAAACTTGAAGTAGCAGTGATCCAATCTGATTTATAAATTGCCAAAGGGACAGTTGCTCCCTACAAATTCATTTACGATTTAATGTTTAACCATGAAAATATGTTCTTACCGTCAATGTTATTTCATTTCCGATCCAACAATAAAGTGTTACTTGTATAGAAACAGCCATGAAATACAATAATTGGTGAAGAAAAGCTCCCGAAATGATATTTAACTAAAAGTACAATATATATTAATGATGAGGTGCTATTTCGAAAAATAAAAAAACTTACACTTGACATCATGTACAAAGAACAAACTCCCAAAGCCATCACAACGACTACTTGCATTAACACTATTATATTAAATATTTCTTCAATTTGCTCAAATAACCTAAAAATTAAAATTTAAAGCAAAATGACCTTGAAAAAAATCTAGGAATTTTAGATAAATTTTTAATTAAGGTGGTATAACTACTTTAATTTGAATATATTTATTTATATCAATTTATGTATTTAACTTATTTAAACTATCTATAAATGGTACCGTATAATTAATTGTAAGTGTTTGCTGAGTCGTTTCATTTCATGTTCCATTAATCGATCTAAAGAATGTTTATTATTTTCCAAATTATTCTCCGTTAAATTAAGTTTACGTAAAGCTCGTGTTCTTATCGTTTCAAAAGCACCTTTTACAATTAAAATATGAGATTCCAAACAAACCAAAATAACCACGTACAGATTATCGATTACTAAAAATGAAAAATGATTTAATTTTAAACTATTATAATTGTTAATAATTATAAAATAGTATGCCGCTATCTATTAATACTTTCATTAACTTAATGTTTCTTGAAAGTTTATTTAAATATAGTCTTATTTAATATTTTCCTGTAAATTGCTTTTCTCTACTAAATTATCTAAATGTTATAAATAAATAAAAAATAATATTATTTTTAACATCCTTAGTGTAGCGGCATCTATTATCATTTTAAGTAAGTTTATACAATAACAAACTTTTCGTAATTTTATTAAATATTAATGAATTTTTTACCAACAATTTGCCATCCAAACATTAAAACTGGTGTTCCTTGAAAAATGATGGCCACACAACAATCAAAATAACTTTCCATACGTAAACGAACTCTTGTTGGATCCGGTAAAATTTCAACGCAAGTAACATTTTCTTGTATCGTTAACAATGTAACTGAAGTAATTGTTCCAACCAAAGGAACACTACAAACCGTCGTAAAAAACGCTAAGATTCCTCTGATGGCAATTCTTTTTCGATCAACAGAAATCTGATATGGGTTATAATCAGCAATCGATTCGTAATCATATCCTTCTTTTTTTAACTCTTCCATTACTTTAATCACTTTATTTCGATAATATAATATGATGTATTTTAAATTCATTAAAATGTGACTCATCACCACTCCTAAATGGTCTAATAATCGTTGAAGATCTCCGTAAACTATCCAAATATCAAAAATATTGTGGTAGGTTCTAAAAAGTTGGCAAGAAATGAAATAAAATCCCATTATTATGTAGTGGAATAATTTGGTTTTTGGATCTTTGTTGAATAACCACCAAAGACCAGCAATTTTTAACATACGGTTGTTAGCCGAAAAAAAATTTTTGTGATAATCAGGCATGATTTAGGTTTTATTCAAATTGAGTTGATTTAGAGAAGTTCCAATGTTTTATAGTGTGATTTATAAAAGCAATTTTCTTTAATAATAAGTCTGGAGTCTTTATGAAATCGGGATGTGATTTGTTTGGAACCTATTTAAGTTAAAAGGGTGTAATTTGAATTGAGTTAAATCGTGTGAATTTGAAAATCTGGATGTTGTTTGCTTTTCGTTATTAATTTTTGTTAAATCAATTAATTTAAATCTGTTTAAAGTAACAAAAATCCTTTTTAATGTTCTACTCCATCGATTATGAAATGTTGATGTAAACCAAGAACCCGCCACCATCATCGTTAAAGCCGTTTTAATTCGATAAATCAAGAGTTGAGACTGTTAGAGACATCTCTCGCTCTCATTGAATCATTCACCATTTAGAATTTAAACGTTAAAAGTTTCAACTCTTTGTTTTTGTGTTCAAACAATAAACTTCTTTCAAAAGTAGAAGTAAAAAGAATCAACTGATAATTATAAATAGAATAAATGATTCAAAATGAATGTTATAATCTTATTTTTGTTTGCAACAATTCTTTTATGCGGTAAGTAAATTTATTTACATTTTTGCGGTAGTGAGTCAATAACATAAAAAAATTGATTATTTTTTTGTTGACCTTCTTCGTTAATTAAATCATACAATTAATGTCTATTTACATTAAGAAAAGGGACCCTTGCAAACCAATTAAAGTTTAAGTCTTATTGAAACTATGACGTCAAAAACTTTTAAAGTGATTTTTCGGTAAGTACTACACTTTTCCGCACTTTTTTTTATCATTAACACATCTTTTGAGTCATTTCCTACCGATTAAAAAAAAATCATCGATTTTTAAGTGGGACAGGTATTCTTTAATTACCTATTCCAAAATACATAAAAAATATTTTGCGTATAAAATAGTCTACGACCACTCGTTTTCAAGATAAATAATACTAAGTAAAATACTGCACACAAACATGTGTATTAAACTATCACTAAAAATCTTAGTAGGCTCCTTTCATTTGTTGATCTTTGCTGTCAAGCGGTCGATAAAAAAATATTTTAGTGCAAAAACCATTATTATAATTTACGTTTAATTAAATCAAAATGGTTCAATACTCAAACGAAGAGATGGCAAACATTCACTTTACGTACGGTAGAGCTGATGGAAATGCCAGAGAAGCACGAAGATTGTGCGCAGAACGATATCCAAATCTACAACTTCCCGGTGAACGAACGTTCGCTTCTATTCATAGAAGATTGTGTGAAACTGGGCGCTTTAATGAAAATCGTTACGACTGTGGAAGATCATGCACTACGAGGACTGTAGAAGTGGAAGAAAGGGTGCTCGATGCAGTAGCTATCAATCCTACGGTAAGCACTAGGAGATTATCGGTACAAGGAAATGTGCCGAAAACCACCGTTTGGGAGGTATTTAAAGATCAGCTACTGCATCCATATTATTTCCAAAAGATGCAAGCCTTAAAACCCACCTATAGCATCCCAAGACTACAGTTCAGTCGTTGGATTATGGAACAATGGCGCCATGACAGAAATTTTCCGGAAAAAATGTTGTTTACCGATGAAGCTGGATTTACCCGCGATGGCGTCATTAACTTCCATAATATCCATATTTGGGCCGACGAAAACCCATACAATGTTTTAGCCACGAAACATCAAGAAAGATTTTGCATTAACGTATGGGTTGGTATTATTGGGGATCATTTAATTGTCTCAACGGTATAAATTATTTGAACGTTTTGCAAAATACCTTGTTTGAACTGATGGAAGAAGTGCCGTATCAAACACGAAGTGAAATGTGATTTATACATGATGGGACTCCTCCTCATTTCAGCGTTCAAGTACGGCAATATTTAAATTAAACCTTCCGTGAAAGATGGATAGGTCGAGGAGCGCCCGTAGCATGGCCCCCACTTTCGCCGGACTTGAATCCCATGGATTTCTTTCTCTGGGGTTACCTTAAATATTTAGTGTATGCAACACCAGTTAGCAATGTTGAAGAGCTAGAACAACGGGTAAGGGGCGGTTGTAACACTATTCGAAACAAACAAGGTATTTTTTGGAAAGTAAGACGTTCATTAATTAAACGAGTGAGATGTTGCATCGACATGGATGGTGGAATTTTTGAACAATTTGTTAAAAATTTAAGCGCTTTTTGTTAATGTTTTAAGTTAAACTTTTTATTTTTGTTAAATTAATATACATGTCTGTGTGCAGTATTTTATTTATTGTTAGTATTATTTATCTTGAAAACGAGTGATCGTAGACCATTTTGTAAGCAGAACATGGGGTGGGTTTGGTAGCGCTACTAGCCACTGCTTGTAGAATAGTTTGCACGCTTGCTTTAGGGTGGGTTAGTGTGGCTTTCTGCGGGGGTGGAGGAAGCGCTCCATCGAGTGTCTGCCTCCTCGTGGCACCACTGGATGTGTGGCTTTCACTACTCCTTTGGGATAAGGGAATTCACTAACTAAATGGCACTCCAACGGCCCTGTCCAAGCTGTCGTGTCGTGGCTAAGGACTTGCACGGAAGGGTAACTGCTGTTTACAGCAACCGTCATACCATGTGCTGGAGTCCAGCTCGACGGATCTTGGTTTAACCGCCCGGATCAAGAGGAGACAACCTCAGTAAAAACCCCAAAGTCAAGGTGGAACAGCTTATGCCGAAGACTTTTATCGCTTAATTGCGTTGGCCAAGAGGGAAATACTTGGTTCCTAATAAGCGGACTCTGGATACCTGGGGTCCTCCAGTTTCAACAAAATCCTCTTACTGCGGCATGCGGGGCTCTGTCGCGGCGGACCTCCTTTCCCTAGCTACTCGTGGGACTTTCATGGAACAGAGTAACAAAAAAACTTTAGTAGAGGTAGATGCAACTCCGAGCGCATCAAGGCAAAAATCGCCTTCAACTAGTGAAAGCGTAGAGGACATCACACTGTCCCCCGCTTCCTCCAGTGCCAGCAGCGTCTTAACGTCTGCGACCATCGAACTTCAGGAGAGCATAGAGAAGCTCCAAGTCAAGGAAAAAAAGTTATGTGGTGCAGCACGGAAAAGGCTCAGGTGGCTGCTCAAACAAGGGCTGACTCTCGAGGAAGCCCGAGCAAAGGCCACACAGCCTATCAGTGAGGAGGAGAAGAGGGCTAAGAGACCTCGCTCCGAAAGCACAACGCCTAAAGGGCCCGACACCAAACGAGCTGCTACTGAAAGGCGTAGCGCTCCTAGCGGAGGCAATCTTCCGCAGGGGCAAAAGCCTACAGTTGCCAGCTTCAAGCAGGTGTTGGAAGGTAAAAAGATGGGTATTGCAGATTCCCTATTTCCAGAGGTGAACCTCACAACAGCCCAAATGCAGGCTATTCAAGAGGTCATCATCTCAAGAATTGTGGACCTTAGCGAGGGACATGAAGGCGACATCAAGCCTAAGTTCCTCGGCACCACATTTAAGGCAGGATGGCTGGTAGTCAACTGCGAAAACCAGGAAACAGCGGACTGGATAAAGTCCGTAACTCCAACCCTACAACCATGGGAGGGCGCATCCCTAATGGCTATCGATGAAAAGGAGCTACCTAGAGCGACTATCATGAACGCCTATTTCCCCAACAGTGCGGATGAAAAATCAGACCGCATTCTAAAAATTGTTAAAGGCCAAAACGAAGGCCTGAACACCAACGAATGGAGGGTGCTCAAAAGGACGACCGAAGGCAGCAGTGCCTTTCTTACGTTGTCCGTTGACCATCCCTCCGTAGAGAACCTTAAAAGAACAAACTATAAGGTTAGCTACAAGTTCGGGCAAATCACCCTGAGGCAAAAGAGCGGCAAGCCTACGCCACAGAAAGAAGAACCCGAACCAACACCTGGAACTTCCGGAACCGCCAAGGACCCCAAGAAGGGTAAAGGTAAGGTTAGTTCCGAAAAAAAGGGTAAGGGCAAAACTGCCGCTCCCAAAATTGCACCCGCCAAACAATAATGGCGGGAGTAGGCTTCATCCAGGCCAACATCCAGCACTGTAAAAGCGCCTCCGACGTGCTGGTCAAGGGCTTCCACAGCCCCAACATACATGTTGCGTTGATTCAGGAACCATATGTATATGGAGGAATAGTCAGAAGACTATCAACAAAAGCAGGTAAGTTATTTTATTACAGAGGAGAGTGCCCTGCGCGAGCAGCGATACTCGCTAAATCCTCTTTAAACTGCCTACCATTAACCCAGTTTATCTCTAGGGACTTGGTTGCAATGTCAGCGGTATTGCCGACGCCGGGAGGCAAGCAAGAGGCGATTATAGCCTCGGCATACTTCCCCGGTGATTCGGACGATCCACCGCCACAAGAGGTAAAAGACCTCATCGAATATTGCAATAAGAGGGGGAAACAACTCCTCCTGGGCTGCGATGCGAATGCACATCATCTCGCATGGAACAGCTCAGACACAAACAAAAGGGGTGAGTATCTTTACCAATACCTTCAAACTACAAATTTAGATATCCTCAACAGAGGTAACGAACCGACTTTTGTTACCAAGAGTCGACAAGAGGTGCTAGACATAAACCTAGCCACGCCTCGCCTCAGTTCGCAAATCGCAAACTGGCATGTTTCACGTGCAATCACTTTAGCAGATCACAAGCATATTCGCTTTGTCATTGTAGCAGACATGACAAAACAAACAGAATTCAGAATCCCGTCACTCACTGATTGGTGCTCTTTTTGTAGATACATCAGCGAAGAGGTTGATGAAATCAAAACAAAGATTGAAAGCGGAGAGGATCTCGAAATAGCCTCTTTTCAACTAAACAATCTCATACATAGTNGGCCGCTATTAATACTCGTTAAACTCTCTGTATCCCAATCTTTATATTTTTTTCGGACTTCCGGTGAAACCGGGGGCGTTTTTGGTGATGATGTTCGCGACGTCGACGGTTTTGGTACTCCCAGGTGAGTTGTTGATAAAGAGAGCGACTAAAAAAATTAATTAAGTTATTGATTTTGAGATGATTGTAGGAAGTGAATTGGAAATGATGGAAGTGGATTGAGAGAATGGTTTGAGGAAGCGGGGAAGATGGTCTTTGAGGTGGATCCAAGATTGTGAAATAAAAACGCAGGTATGAAACAATGGAAATGTTACGCAAGCTGGAACCTAGCATCAAGAGAGGTTGAGATTCCAATATTCCAATGTTGAGCAAGTATATTCGTCCAAATACCTAAGACATGAAGGCCATGAGACAAAAGAATAGGGTTAATCTAAACTGCCTTTGGAAGACTTAGCTACATCTTGTGTTGAAGTAATTAAATATTTCTAGGAAATCATGTTTGAAATGCCATCTAGTGGTAGTCTTCTTGGGCTGACTCTCGAGGAAGCCCGAGCAAAGGCCACACAGCCTATCAGTGAGGAGGAGATGAGGGCTAAGAGACCTCGCTCCGAAAGCACAACGCCTAAAGGGCCCGACACCAAACGAGCTGCTACTGAAAGCGCTCCTAGCGGAGGCAATCTTCCGCAGGGGCAAAAGCCTACAGCTGCCAGCTTCAAAGGCAAAAAGATGGGAATTGCAGATTCCCTATTTCCAGAGGTGAACCTCACAACAGCCCAAATGCAGGCTATTCAAGAGGTCATCATCTCAAGAATTGTGGACCTTAGCGAGGGACATGAAGGCGACATCAAGCCTAAGTTCCTCGGCACCACATTTAAGGCAGGATGGCTGGTAGTCAACTGCGAAAACCAGGAAACAGCGGACTGGATAAAGTCCGTAACTCCAACCCTACAACCATGGGAGGGCGCATCCCTAATGGCTATCGATGAAAAGGAGCTACCTAGAGCGACTATCATGAACGCCTATTTCCCCAACAGTGCGGATGAGAAATCAGACCGCATTTTAAAAATTGTTAAAGGCCAAAACGAAGGCCTGAACACCAACGAATGGAGGGTGCTCAAAAGGACGACCGAAGGCAGCAGTGCCTTTCTTACGTTGTCCGTTGACCATCCCTCCGTAGAGAACCTTAAAAGAACTAACTACAAGGTTAGCTACAAGTTCGGGCAAATCACCCTGAGGCAAAAGAGCGGCAAGCCTACGCCACAGAAGGAAGAACCCGAACCAACACCTGGAACTTCCGGAACCGCCAAGGACCCCAAGAAGGGTATAGGTAAGGTTAGTTCCGAAAAAAAGGGTAAGGGCAAAACTGCCGCTCCCAAAATTGCACCCGCCAAACAATAATGGCGGGAGTAGGCTTCATCCAGGCTAACATCCAGCACTGTAAAAGCGCCTCCGACTTGCTGGCGCCAACATACATGTTGCGCTGATTCAGGAGCCATATGTATATGGAGGAATAGTCAGAAGACTATCAACAAAAGCAGGTAAGTTATTTTATCACAGAGGAGAGTGCCCTGCGAGAGCAGCGATACTCGCTAAATCCTCTTTAAACTGCCTACCTTTAACCCAGTTTATCTCTAGGAGCCTGGTTGCAATGTCAGCGGTACTGCCGACGCCGGGAGGTAAGCAAGAGGCGATTATACCCTGGGCATACTTCCCCGGTGAATCGGACGATACACCGCCACAAGAGGTGAAAGACCTCATCGACTACTGCAATAAGAGGGGGAAACAACTCATCCTGGGCTGCGATGCGAACGCACATCATCTCGACTTTTGTTACCAAGAGTCGACAAGAGGTGCTAGACATAAGCTTAGCCACGCCTCGCCTCAGTTCGCAAATCACAAACTGGCATGTTTCACGTGAAATCACTTTAGCAGATCACAAGCATATTCGCTTTGTCATTGTAGCAGACATGACAAAACAAACAGAATTTGGAATCCCCTCACTCACTGATTGGTGCTCTTTTTGTAGACACATCAGCGAAGAGGTTGATAAATAGCCTCTTTTCAACTAAACAATCTCATACATAGTGCGTATGAATCAAGCTGTCCAATAAAACACAAAAGAGCACAATCCAATGTGCCTTGGTGGAACAAGGACCTTGAAAACCAGCGAGTCATGGTTAGAAGACTATACAATAAAGTCAGGAATTCCAAACTCGAGCAAACATGGGGTGTCTATAGAAAAGCCCTAACGGAATATAACTTGGCTATCCGCAAAGCCAAAAGAAAAACCTGGCGCAGCTTCTGTGAAGGCATAGACAATACGCCTACAGTTGCTCGTCTGCATAAGATCTTGACAAAAGGTCACAACACTGATCTAGGCCACCTATGCAAACAAGATGGTAAATATACAGAGGATGCTAAGGAATCGTTGGAGCTCTTACTGAGTACACACTTTCCTTCCTCAAAAGTCTGCCCCCATGCAGATGCCGACCCTGAAGTAATGGACATAACCCGTCCATCAGGTAGGGTTCGCAGCACAGCTGGGAATATTTTCAAACCCAACAGAGTAAGATGGGCTATCTCGAATTTCAAGCCCCTAAAATCGCCTGGAGGAGACGGAATTCTGCCTATCTTTCTGCAAAAAGGCTTAGAAGACCTTCTCCCAATAATAATATCCCTATATATAGCTAGCTACAGCTTTAGCTATATACCCACTCTATGGAGGAAAGTAAAGGTGGTCTTCATACCTAAAGGTGGTAGGCGTTCAAACGCGGACCCCAAGGCGTACAGACCAATTAGCCTAACTTCATTTCTCCTCAAAGGGATGGAAAAGGTAATCGATCAATACCTAAGGAATGGAGTGCTTCTCACAAATCCACTCCACCCTAGCCAACATGCTTACCAGAAAGCAAAATCAACAATTACCGCTCTCCATGCTTTGACTAGCACCTTAGAGGAGGCAATTGCAACCAAAGAGATAGCCCTTTGTGCTTTCATAGATATAGAGGGTGCGTTTGATAACACCTCATATGAATCCATAGAGAAGGCTTTAAACGTAAAAGACATACATCCGTCGACAATCAAGTGGTGTATAGCCATGTTGAAAAGTCGGCAGATCACAGCCAGTCTGGGAGGCGAGTCGCTGACTATAAAGGCGCTAAGAGGATGTCCCCAAGGGGGAGTGCTATCACCTCTATTATGGTGCCTGGTAGTTGATGACTTGATGAACACCCTAACTAAAAACGGATTTAAGATACAAGGGTATGCTGATGACCTGGTAATCACAATCCGAGGTAAATATGATTCAATCATAACTCAGCTAATGCAGAAAGCCCTACTACTCACCAGTACTTGGTGCAGAAGCAATGGGCTCAGCATCAATCCCAATAAAATCGAAATAGTCCCTTTCACTCGGAGAAGGAAGCTACAAATAAAAGCACCCTCCATTGAAAGCAGAACTATTAACCTCAAAACAGAAACTAAATACCTAGGGGTAATACTTGACAGTAAACTAAACTGGAACTCACACTTAGATAAGGTGAGGAAAAAGGCCATCATGGCAAACCAGATCTGCCGCAGGCTCCTAGGAAGGAACTGGGGTCTCAAACCACGAATGGCTCATTGGGCCTACGTAGCAATAATCAGACCCATGGTCGCCTACGCCTCATTGGTTTGGTGGCCAAAAACAAAACATAAGACAGCTCAACAACAGCTGGCACAAATCCAGCGGTTAGCATGTCTTAACATAACGGGTGCAATGAGATCCTGTCCGACGGCTGCTTTGGAAGCCCTACTCGGTCTCACACCGCTCCACATATATATACAAAAGGAGGCAGCCTTAAGTGCCTTATCACTGAAAACAGTTTCTTCACTCAAGTTGATGCAGGGTAATCTCAGAGGACACCTCGAGATCCTCAAAGACCCATGTCTAAATCACCTGATTGAAATTAAAACGGACCTTATACCGACGGAATACAATTTCAACCAACCGTATAAGGTCATATTTAGTAGCAGGGATGATTGGGCGAAAGGAGGGCCTCAACTAAAAAGAGGAGCCCTAGCCTGGTACACCGATGCTTCAAAGACAGTAAGATCTGGAGTAGGCATGGGCATCAGTGGACCAAATAGCCACATCAAATTGCCCCTCAGCTCGGACTTAACAATTTTCCAAGCAGAAGTTCTTGCTATAAACTTCTGCACCGCTTTGAACCTACAGAAGGGACAAAAAGGTGCATCCATAAACATTTTCACAGACAGTCGGGCCGCCTTAAAGGCAATTCAGGCCTACACGTGTGGCTCCGCACTGATCAGAGAGTGCACCAACAACCTGAGAGAACTCGCTAGGGGCAATGATGTTACCCTATGGTGGGTTCCAGGTCACAGCAACATTGAGGGCAATGAGAAGGCCGACAAGCTGGCCAAAGAGGCAGCAAACACGCCCTTCATTGGACCCCAACCTGGATGTGGACTACAAAAAAGCCACCTAAAACAAATAATCAACAACTGGGAGGCTTCAAAGATAGCCTTACGCTGGAAAGAACTTCCAGGTCACAGACAAGCGAAGAGTATGATAACTCCGTCGCAAAACAAAACCAAAGAGGTTTTATGCCTCAGCAAAGGGGATCTAAGAACGCTCTCAGGCTACCTAACCGGCCATGTGCCCCTAAAATACCACCTCTTCCACATTGGACAAGCTGAGGATCAAACTTGTCGACTATGCAACGACGAGTCAGAAACTGCTGAACATATACTGTGCAATTGCGTCGCCAGAGGCCGTCTAAGGCACAACGTCTTCGGTAAAACTCCCCTGTTACCTACCGACATAAAGGT